CATTATATGGTGATCACACTGTCTCAGTTTGCAGTGGCCCAAAGCAATAAGGACTGCGTTGCTTACAATCAGTGTTTAATAGTTCCTTCCCTTCAGCTGTCAACTGTCCTCTTTCCTAGCACTATTAGGCTAATTCCATCTTGCTTTGCCTATTATAATTAGAGTCATGAGACCTATATTGTAGAACAATGGTGCTAGAATGCAAGGGTGATTTTCCCCCACCACTGCTCTCTTTCAGGGATTCCCTGAGCACCGACTGAGAAAATGGAGCTATTTTAATAACAACTCCGAGAATAACCCACAGAAGTGCCTTTCTGACTAAGGTCTCAAAAGGAATCCGAAACATTTCACAGAATACCATTTTCAGTTCTCAGTTTAATTCAGAAAATATTTATTGAGCACTTTTATATCTGCCTTTGTGTGAGACACCACATGTGTGTGCTGGGGGAGAATCAGAAGAATTGGGAGTTACTCATTTGGAGAAACCTACAAAAAAAGTATGTGTGCCTGCAGCTGTTGGGAAGACTGTCAGGAAATAAACGCTCAGTCTCACCTGGAATGCAGGGACAGGCAGACATGTCCAGGAGCTTTGGGGCGTGGGGGGAAGAAAGCCACATGTTTTGGTAAAAGGGGAAGTTAATAGCAAGGGCTTGAGCTGGCCTGTTAGTGAGGGGGGTGTCGTGGCGAGATGTGGGTGGGAAAGAGATCAAATAAAGGTTTCAAATAAAGGTTTCATATTCCCCTGTGTAGACCTAGAATCTGGCACAGTGTAGACACTTAAGGTTGATTGAATGTGCATGGGCTGTCAATTGGTTTATTTCCTATGGCAGGATTTAGAGCCGGGTGTGGGTGCTTCTCCTCAGTGCTGCTGGGACCTGAGGACATTGACTCGGTCACTGGGTGAGGTGGGACAAGCCCAGGAAACCCAGCTGTCCACAGACCCTCCGAGAGTCTCGGCCTCATTCCCAGCCCAAGTGCTGCCGCATTGTGCACAGGGATTTGGTGAGTCTCTGTATTAGTCTGCTCGGGCTGCTTTAACAAAATATCACAGACTGGGGGGGCTTCAGCAACAGAAATTAATTTTCTCACAGTTCTGGGAGTCTGAAGTCCAAGATCAAGGTGTTGCCAGGGTTGGTATCTCCTGAGTAGTCTCTCCCCTTGGCTTGTAGAAGGCCACCTTCCAACTGTGTGCCCACGTCTGTGTCCAAATTTCCTCTTCTTATAAGGACACCAGTTGGACTAGATTAGGGCTCACTTCAATGGCCTCGTTTTAACTTAATCACTCCTCTAAAGGCCCTACCTCCAAATACAGTCACATTCTGAGGTACCGGGGTTAGGGCTTCAATATACGAATTTTGGGGGGACACAATCCAGTCCATAACAGTACCTTTTCCAAGTCCCTTTGAACTTGATTTTGGGACCTCTAGGGCTCAATTCTGTCCTACTCATTCTTTTCCTCTCCCAAGTCTTGTGATCAACATGAGAAGAGGGTGGGCACTTTGTGGGAAGGGGAAGTGGGGTCCACAGTGCAGAGCCCAGACATAGGCAAGGAGGGCCCTGTCCTGGGCCCCATACTTTAGGGCCCCTTCCTCTGGCCTTCCTCCGGCTGTGTCTTCCCCATGGGATGGGATGTCTGTAGGGCCAAGGGGACATGCCCACTGGAGCCTGTGCCTTCTCTTCCGGTCCATGCTTTGAGTGTCTAGGATCCCAGAATTCCCTGCCCAGCTGGCTCCCCGCCCAGTCCAAGGAGTGACTGCAGTGGGGGTGGAGTTAAGGGGGTGGAGCTTAGGTTGTCCACACACTGGCCTGTAAGGAGCATGGTGGCGTAGGAACAGAGTATGAGAAGAGAAGAGGGGTGGGCTGGGAGCTGGAGCCGTGGCAGGGTCCTGCGGGGGCACCCGTGCACTCTTGCCCCAGGCCCAAAATGTAAGAGATGCACTGAAGACTGGAGGCCAAAGCTGATGATGCCTTTGGTGTAACCAAGTCCAACTCTTTCTATTACCTCCCCAACACACACACACACACACACACACACACACACACACACACTCTTCCAGCATTGTTCTGGCTTCAGGGTTGGGCCAGAGCTATTTAGAGGTTTAAAAGTCACTGCCAAACTACAAAGTGAATATGATGATGGGGCTGGGCAGAACTAGCAAGGTCATTCTGTAAGTAAGCAGCCTGGAATAGCTTTGGAGTTAAGGAGGTTGTGTTAACCTCATGGTATGCAGGAATTATCGACTTCTAGCTTTGCCCACTCAGCAGTGAAGACCCCGGTCTCCCGAGTCCTTCAGGGTCTGGACACTGTTGCTCAAAGTGTCAGGTTTCATCCAGGAGCAAACTGCTGACCCTGCGGGAAGGGATTGCCCCGGGGCCGCTGAGGTGAAGTCTGTTGTGACATGCTTTAATTGCCTTCGGGGCCTGGGAGGCAGCTCCTCTATGATTTAGATGCAGAGAGGCCATCATTGGAGAGACCGGGGTACATTTTCCAGCTGCCCTTTAGCCTGTGCTTCCTGGCAAGGGAGGATTCAGATCTAACAAAGAGTACACTTTTAAAAACAATGGAAGGTGAAGGAAATTTAATCGGAAGGCCCAGAGGTATACTTTATCATTTTATTCTTAATTCTTTTGTCTTAGACTTTTTATTGCCTGTAGGGCCCTAAGTTAAATTAAAAAAATCTTTTTTTCGACAGCGTAGGTAAATTACAAAGCTTTTACATCTTGATTCAGGATTTCCCTGTGGCTCCAATACGTGCTGTGCAGTTTAAGGTTATGAAGGAAGACTCTGGCTGCCGTGGCCTTGCAGGAGGTCTGCAGGAGGTCACCCCAGGGACGGGGCTGGGCTTCCTCTGTAGGCTGGGAAGCTGATTTTCTCAGTTCATCCAGGGTCATCAGGCTAGGTTCACACTGCCCAGAGGCTCCTGAGTGGTTGATTGACAAAACAAAATGCCTGTTGATTCCTTTAAAATTAGAAATAGCACTTCCAAGGAGAACAGACATGTCAGCTGCTCAGTACACTTCTTTTTCAGTGGAAGAGGTTTTTTTGAAATTCAAAAGTAGGAAGTACTTTTGGAGCAGAAAGTAGCTCGAGGAGCATCAATTCAGAGCGAATGGAATTGGGCAATGAGGCATTCTGCTGGCGTGTCCCCTGTGGGCACCAACTTGATCGAGCACCCTCCTCTTGGTCAGTGTTGAGGACACACATACAGCTCCTTCCTGTCTCCACCCTTATTAAGAATCACAATTAATCCCATATTATCAATCTTTAGTGGCCTATTTGGACATTTCAGAAACCCTCTGGTCACAGACTCATGGGAATAGTGGGTATTGGTGGTAGAAGGGACATTAGGATACGCTGTGTCCAACTCACCCTTCTTGTTAAGCAGATGAGGAAATGAGACCCAGAGAGGTGGAGTGACTTGCCCAGGGTCACACAGCAAGCTGGCTCAAACCCTAGGCTCCTGAATGCAAGTCTAGTCAATGTAGTGTGGTGAGATGAGGTAGCACGAGAAAATAAAAAGAGCACATTCTTCGAGTTCATACAGACCTGGGGTGAGTTGTGGCCTGGCCACTTAGCAGCAATAATAGTGACAACTATCAACATTTATTGAGCTCTTACTGTATGCCAGGCACTTTCTAAGTGCTTTATAGTTATTGCTACATTTAGTTTTCACAAAAACCTTATGAGGTAGAGTTTTTTACCAAGGGGGAAACTGAGGCGTGGAGTGAATAAGTAACTAGCCCATGGTCATACAGTAAGGGATGGATGCAGGCTCCCAAACTGCAGAACCTGTATTCTTAACCACTGTGCTCAAGTTCATGAACTTATCGGAGGCAAATTTTCCTTAAATGTAAAATAAGGTAAATAACAGCTCCTTGTAGGGTCATAGAATAGAATAGAATAGAATAGAATAGAATAGAATAGAATAGAATAGAATAGAATAGAAATAATGACCAAAACGTGTCTCATACCTAGTGGCACTTAATAAATAGCAGCATTTTTTGTTATTTATAATTGGGGTTGCTGTTTTATTAAACCATGCTGTGTCCTCCATCTTTTGCTAAGTCTCCTGGTCCTGGGGTTCTCAAAGTGTGCTCCCCAATTAGCAGCATGAGCACCTGGGAACTTGTCAGAGATGCAAGCCCTTAGGTCGCACCCTAGACCTACTGGATCAGAAGCTTTCGGGGAGGGGAGGTGGGGAGCAATCTGTTTATCAGGACTTCCAGGTAATTAATTCTGAGGCACGCTGAAGTTCGAGATCACTGCCCTAGTCTTACCACTAATATCTTTACAAACTATTTCCTGAAGTGACTAATTAGCTGTGTCCTAAGTAGGTGCTTCTTAGCTTCAACTGCAGACGGCACCTTTCCCCAGCTTGTGGGCTCCCATCATATTTTCCCATCACATATTGCCTTTATCTCTCTCATGGGGACCTGTTCACAAATGGATTTGAGCTGGCAATGGCACCGTTTTAGGACTGTCGTTCCCAGTGCTGTGTGCTAGGAAAGGTTGCAGGAGTCTGGGCGGACTGAGAATTCAGGAGACCAGTGGTCCACCTCCAGCTGGGCTGAGTTCCTAGTTCTGTGAGTTTCAGCATCTTTGTGCCCTATTTTCCCCATCTGTCAATCAGATATATTAAAAGCCAGCTGCCAGGGCCGGCCCGGTAGCTTAGCGGTTATGTGCGCGCGCTCCGCTGCTGGCGGCCCGGGTTCGGATCCCGGGTGCGCACCAACGCACCGCTTCTCAGGCCATGCTGAGGCCGCGTCCCACGTACAGCAACTAGAAGGATGTGCAGCTACGACATACAACTATCTACTGGGGCTTTGGGGGGAAAATAAAGAAATAAATAAAATCTTTAAAAAAAAAAAAGCCAGCTGCCTTTTTTAATGTCAAAGTTTTGTTTTGAAATAATAGATATGAAAGCTCCTGAACAAGTGTCAAGTGTTTACTGCAAAGTGAAGTATTATTAATACAATCTGTTTTTTTTTCCTCTTGGTAGATACTTTAAGATTCAGAAATGCTTCATTTTTGGCCCCTTCTGTCTCTCTCTTTACAATAAATTCTTCCTCTTCGTCTGGTGGGGGTGTGGCAAGATGTGCTACTGGAATGTTCCCTCTCGACACATTTGTCGCCGTGTGTCTGTGAGTATGAGCATCTGACGTACGCGGTTGGGATGTATATGTCAGGGATGTTTTATCAACTTCCACTCAGCAACTACACTTAGCCATTTAATTTCCATTCATTGAATGGTGTCTGGCCAATGCTGCCTCTGTGCAGAGAGATCACCATTTATCTTAAACAAGAGAATTTGAAAGTGCTCAAGAGGAAGGCTGGCCACACCCAAAAGTGATTGGGTTTCACAGTCACTGAGAAATGTATCCTGTCCCCAGATATTCCTGTTCCTATCATGTGATCACTAAAGATTAATTTCTTTTATTTGAGGCATTGCTTCTCCCACAAATAGTCTGGCCTGTTAACTTCTTGTTTGCATCTTGCCTTTTTCCTTAGGACAAACCCATAGAAGTAGAATTGCTGGCCTGTACTTGAGTCATTTGATGAGCTTTCCTGAAAACCTCACTTATATGTCCCCAGTCAGAGACGTCCATGTCTATTTCATCACTGTCACCAGCATCAAAAGTGACCTGTATAAAAAATAGTACCAATTTGATAGATAAATAGATTGGTTTAATTTACATTTTAAAAAATTGGTAATGAAGGTTTTTTTTCTAAGTTTATCTGCTCTTCATACCCTTCACACCCTTTCCATGTGTGTGTTAATTGGATTCTTATGGATTTTTAAAGTTCATTACATAGCTGAAGGATATGAATCCTTAGTCTCATCAGCTGCAGGTATCTCCCTCAGTGTTTTCATTGCTTTTTGTTTGTTTGTTTATGATTTTTTTTACAATTATAATAAGGAGTTTAGTGAAATCCATTAATCTTTCACCTTGTAATTTCTTTCATTTATTTATTCTTAGAAAACTACTTCTAACCCTTAAAAGTGTTGAAGATTTACCTATATTCTAGTAGGGACCTTAAGTGGTTTTGTTTTTGCTGGGCTATTTTCTCTGCATCTTGCTGTGGTGTTGGTGTGAAGTAAGATTTGGTCACATGTCTGTGTCTGCTCCCTGCAGGTTCCTCACCTTGCTGGGCCACGCCCTTCCTCTGGCTGGAACTGTCTATGTGGCAGCCACAGGGTGGGGGTCAGACCCCGGAGCATCACCTGCACATGAGGCACATTCGGCCTGTTACGGGAGTCTGCCTTTGAGAGAGACGAAGAGGAGTGAACAAGGAGACAGAATCCAAGGGACAGCTTGCCTGGCCCATCTCTCACTGTCAGGAACCCCGAGCAGAGGAAAAGGTAGGCATTTTAATAAACTAAGGCAACTCATGAGAGGTGGTTTAGATGCGTACACAATTGGAAAATAATTCCTACAGTGCTAGAGGCTGGTGAATGTCCAACAGCTTCTAAAGGCCAGCGTGGAGGTTGGGTCTCTGCTCTTCACAATCTGGTCTTTGTTTACCATCAGTGTGTTAAGGCGAGGTCACGAAAAATGCTGCTTTATTTCTTGGGTACAATTATCCAGTGTGTTTTTGTGCTACTCAAAGATGAGGTCAGAACAGAGCTTGGGTTTCGCTATAGTAATCCTCTAAGGAACAATTCCATGATCACAGTGTCTATTTTCAGCGTCACAGCTACACAGACGACTCAGAAAACCTTCCTGGCATCAGCGAGGTAAATGATTTACATATAAATCAAAGCCAGGGGAGCGAGTGTGCAACACAAGTTGATTAAAACACTGCACAGAAAGAGATGGAACCCTGGCACAGTGTAGTGAGAGGCTGGATAGCAATGAGTCACATTGTGTTGTGTTTTAGTTAAAAATCAAGAGCATTATCTTCATTTCCACCTGCTCATATGGCAAGGCAAAGAGCACACACACGTGTATATTCTGAAACAAGAATAGTCTCGTCATGCAAATACCTTTAAACACGTGGAATAATTTTTGGCAGAGCCTCCATAGGTCTACACAATTGTCCTTCCCTTACTCTAACTAGGGGAATAAAAATAAAACAAAATTTCAGTGAATGGACCAGAAGAATATGAATATGTAATAACTTTCCTGTTAAGGAAAATCAGGGAACACGTCCAAAGTGGAAGGCATAGTGATGATTTTATCAGATCCTGTTTGGGTCTTCAGGCAAAAACAAAAACAGTAGCAACACCAACAAAAAGCCCCAAGAACAAGAAAAGCAACAAAAAACATGTTTGTATAAAGATGATATAATATAAGAGCTGAGAAGGCTTAGAGGTTCCCGTGCAACCTCCTTCCCAAATCGGAAGCCATCTACCAGCCCAGCGGCTCCCTTTGAACCCATCATGATGGGAAGTATTCATTGTTAGGCTTCTGCACAATACAGTCATGCGCTGCATAACGATGGTTCAGTCATCGACGGACCACCTATACCACGGTGGTCCCATAAGATTAGTACCATATAGCCTAGGTGTGTAGTAGGCTGTACCATCTAGGTTTGTGTGAGTGCACTCTATGACGTTTGCACAAAGACAAAATTGCCTAATGACGCATTTCTAGAATGCATCCCTGTCAAGTGGCACATGACTTTAGTCAGTCCCTGATGCCCAGTAATTTCTACCTGTGAGTTCTGGTTTTGCCCTCTGGGGCCTCAGAAAATAAATCTACTCTCTTGTTTCTATTACAGCCGTCAGATACTGAGGACAGTTATGCTGGTCTCCCCCGGCTCAGAACCCCTCAATTATTTTTCACATGACATGGTTCAAGAACTCTCTCAGCTCCCTGGCCATGTAGAATGTTCCAGAGTGGGCATGGGCACATGCTTAGCAGTCCCCAATCAAACCTGCCTTGGTTTCTATCTCTGCATTTAGTCAGGTTATTTGACTTCTAGGAACCTCAGTTTCCACATATGTAAAATGGGGGCATAGAATGGGATTTGTTGAAGGAATTAAATGAGATAATGTGTGCTTATCTTCTCCTAATTTCTTTTTGGAAATTTTCCAAAAGAAAATTTTTCTTTTCCTCATCCTCTTCACTTAAGGCAGGAGAGGGAGGAAAAGGTAGGAGTTTTAATTGGCCAAGACCTCTTACTTGGGCTACACTGACCTCACTGAGGTCAGTTGGCTTCCAGGGACCTGTTACATGCTTCTAATTGTCAGACTGAGGGTGAGCCTACAGTCCCCAAATTCACCACTGCTTATCATCGGGTGGAAGGCTAACCCACAGCCCTGCATTTTAAGATTGGATCACAGAATTTAGGGCAGGCACACCTGGTGTGGTATCAGGAATTGGCCACTGAAACTTTAGGTTCTTCCCCCAAAATAAGACTCTGTGGTCGAACACTAAGGTTATGTCAGCTTTTTCAGCAGCCACATTTAACTGTGGCCTCGAAATCAGGGGTTTCCGTGTTCCATTGCTGTAGCAATTTTTTGTTTGTTTGTTTAATACCATCAGAGTAAAATATTACATTCCTAAATGTTTGGAAACAAAAATCAAGGTGGAGAGACCCCTGGATTCAGCATTTTTTCTCTCCATTTTTACATTCACCAGTGAGTCAAATCAACACAAGACCACCGCGTCTTCTAGAAGTTTAGAGTCAAATTGGGTATTTCAGATTCCTGGTTCTTTATCCTCCAAATCATCATTGTACTTGCTTAGAATGGTTTTCCATGACATGAGCCTGTCCTTTACTATTTAGATGAGAAAAATATGAGTGAATGTTTGAGGACATTTTCATGAAGTTAATAGCTATGGATTTCAGCCCCTGGAGGTCAGATCACTTGCTTTGTGGTCCGTTGCTTAAGGAGGGTTCACAGTAATAATAACTAAGAGAATCCAAAGAGGCTGTAAGATTTCTTTTTTTTGAGGAAGATCAGCCCTGAGCTAACATCTGCCAATCCTTCTCTTTTTGCTGAGGAAGACTGGCCCTCGGCTAACATCCGTGCCCATCTTCCTCCACTTTATATGGGACACCGCCACAGCATGGCTTGACAAGGGGTGCGTCGGTGCGCGCCCGGGATCCGAACCTGTGAACCCCGGGCCGCTGCAGCGGAGCGCGCGAACCTAAACACTTGTGCCACTGGGCCGGCCCCTGCAAGGTTTTTTAAGGCACCTTCACACCCAGTGGTTCTCAAAGTTCGGTAAGCACCAGAATCACCTGTGGGCCCCACCCCCAACAATTCTGATTCAGTAGGTTGGGGGTGGGGCCTGGGACTGTGCATTTCTAACAAGTTCCCAGGTGATGCTGAAGCGGCTGGTCCGGGAACACCCGCTTTGAGCACCACTGACCACAGGCATTGTTTCATCCAATCCTCCCGTTCCCCTGTGGTTTATAACACTTTCCATTTGCAAAGGAGTGAAATGGGACTCAGAGAGGCTGTCTTCTCTATAGGCCAGTTGTTTTCAGACAATTGTACAAGCTGCTGCTAGTTAGGCTCACCCACAAATGGGATTTAGATGGAAAAAAATAATAATCATAGCAAAATGTATTCAGTGCTTGCTTGCCAAATTAGGCATTGGGCCCGAAGTTTGACAAAAACTATTCTCGAATCTTCACAAGAAACTACCAAAAGCTGTGCTCAGTCAAAAGTGAGGAAAGAGGTTCAGAGAGGTTAAGGAATTGGTGGAACTCAGCAGAGCCCAGGTCCTGTGTCTCTCCATTGCAGCATGCAGCTTCTCAGGGAGCTGAGGGGAGCCAGGACACAAGGTCGCCTGGTGGCTCGGGCACTGCTGATTGTGCTGTGGCAGAGCCAGTTCCTGGTGAGTGAATTCATCTAAATGAAAGGGTGAGCTTCATGCCTTCAGGCAGGACCCTACGAGAGCGACTCCAATGGAAAAACTCGTATTTATGGCTGGAACCTCAGAATGTTAGGTAATTACATACTTCTATTTAAGAAATTGATTTGGATTTCCAGAGCTTGGTTATTAGCCAGACCTCGCTTGTAAATAAGTTTTAATTCTGCAAGGACTTCTGGTGCCCACAATGTTTAAGGCATCAAGCTACATCCAGGAGAAAATATGACTCTCTTGGAGCCAGTCTGAGCTTGGGAGGCTCCCATTTCACAATTCCAGCTACTTAGTTGGCTCTTAGGATGAGTTAAATTAAATTTCAAAAAAAATTGAAGGGAATGAATTAAGTAGAAGGATTAACCATTTTTAAAGCAGTGGGGCTTAAAATAGTGATGGTAGTAGCTGTGACATTATCTCATTTGTTCTTCACAATAATCCTGTAATTATAAGATCTACTTTGATTCCCATTTTGCAGATGTGGAAATTTAGTCACAGAGAAGTTAATTCACTTGCCAGGGGACACAGAGCTAATAATGACAGCTAGACTCAGAGCCAGGAGTGTCTAACTTTACGGCCCACACCCTTAGCGGCTGTGCCACGTGCCCCTCTGTTTTCATACCTGTGCCTTGGCCGGTAGGGATGTGGTTTGCGAGTGGTTCTTTCTTGGGAGAGCAGCAGGGATGCCATTTCAAGCGAAATGCTGGCTTTATGGAGCATGTGGTTTCTTAAAGATGTCTAAGTTCCCCATCCCCCAACCCTTTGTATAACAGGACTGGGGGCAGGGGTTGGCATCTCTGGGGCCTGGGCTTGGGCAGCATATTCTGTGCAAGGCAGTGTGGGCACCAACCTCAGGTCAGTTCTGTTAGGGAAAGTCAAGGTTCATAGGTGAAGGAGACCAAGTCCAAAGATCAACAAGGGACCATGGACAACTGAGTTGAGCAGTCCAGGGTCACAGCGAGGGAGCATCCGGTGACAGCCAAGATCACTGGTGTGCGTGTTTTGGCTCGTGTTTGTGGGGCAGCGCATGGATCGGTCTGGCTTTCGGGGCGGGCAGTAACACCTTTGCTCTTGCCCAGGATTTCTAGGAGCCGTGGACCGTGCTCTGAGATGCTTTTCTTGGCAGAAGAATGTACCGGCCATCTGGACTACGAAGATGCCAGGAAGCACATGCTCAGCACTGAATGGCATCCGAGTCGTGAGCCTCCTCTGGATCATGTCGGGGCACACCAGTCAGATGACCGCGTGGCTGTCTCTGGGTGAGGGGAACTGATGAGCCTTCATGAGCAGTCAAGGAAGAGAGACTCTTCCGCGTGAGGGAATCACATTGGGCCATAGGATGGGAGGCTGCAGCCTTCCTTCTGTGTTAGAGACAGAGTCGTGACCTCCACAAGTGAGTTTTCCAGGCCAGTCTCCAGGGAGTGCCTTACCTCCTTCTCCGCATAAATCAGGCACCTGGTTACCAGGTGAATAGTGATACCTGAGTATTGTATTTTCATCGTCTAAATCTCGTCATGATTAATGAAGCCAGAAACTAACTTTTTTTCTCCTGGAGAAACAGGCCAGTGTAAATAAATATCGTGCACTAGTATTAAACCAGTGTTCCTTGACCTTTGCTCTGTCGCCACATTCATGATGCAGAGAGGACCCCACCGGTAGCAGGGGTCTTCTCTAAGCGGGGGCCAAACGTATATATCAGAATTGAGGGGTGGAGGCCAGCCCAGGGCAGTTTGAAGAACCTCAGGAGATTGGCACCAGACCATGAACTTGTGGTGCTGCTGTAGCCCCAAGGGGGCTGCGGCCACTGTGAGAGCACAGGGAGCTAAAGCCTTAGTTACCATTAGGTCCCTCAGTCGCCATCTTTTATTCCCAGTCCAAGTTCTCTCTTAAGTGAATAAACCCCTCCCAATACATCTGAAAGTGGAAGGTATTCCTCTTGCTTTCTCTAAAAAGATAAATCACATGATTTTTTTCTGTTAAAGAGACACTGCTTTTTATGTTTGTTACAGATAATGTGCTTGAATGGAAAACCAGAGTGCTTAAAAACCCACTGTACCTTTTTTCTCGGAGTGGCCCATTCTATCTTGGGGTTGACACATTTTTCCTGATCAGGTAATAAGGTGTCTTCTCTGCTGTTGTGCCTGTTGCTGATTGTTTGGGGATGTGTATATGTGTGTATGTAGCTGTTCTCACTTTAGTGAGAAAAACTGAATGGCACACATTTACTCACCTGGCCTTTGCTTCTGTCTGTCTCTGGACAGTACTGTTGTCACAAGCTCCTGTCTTTTGTATCTTCAATTTATTAATGAGTTAGGAAGGCTCTCTAAAAGGGGCCTTTTACAAAAGGTGATTTTATTTATCAAAATTGTTTATTTCAGTGGTTCTCAAATTCTGGTCCATGGACTGATGCAAATCCATGAGAAAGTTGCCAGTGCTCACTATAGTGAAATGTGAAAAAATAAGAAAATGGTGTGATGTGTCATAAAGCTATGTTTATTTAAATTAACTACTAAGAGGTGAGATTCCTTAATTGTTTGATAAATGTCAGGCACCGTGTTAAGTACTTTGCAGTATTACCTCATTTAATCCTCATGATATCCCTGTGCAGCAGGGACCATTGTTAAAATCCCCATTTCTTTCTTTCTTTTTTTGTTTTCTTGAGGTGAAGTCATGTAACATAAAATTAACCAAAGTGAACAATTCAGCAACATTTAGTACCTTCACAGTGTTGTGCAACCACCACTTCTATCTAGTTCCTAAACATTTTCATCATCCCCAAAGGAAACTTCATACCCAATAAGCAGTTACTCCCAAGTACCCCCTCCCTCCAGTTCCTGGAAATCTGCTTTCTGTATCTGTGGATTTACCCATTCTAGATATTTCATACAAATGGATCATACAATATGTGGTCTTTTGTGCCCGGCTTCTTTCACTCAGCATGACGTTTTTGAGGTTCATCTATGTTGTAGCACGTATCAGTACCCATTCCTTTTTATGGCTGAGTAATGTTCCCTTGTAGGGATAGACCACATGATCTCCATTTTAAAGATAAGGAAAGTGATACTGAGGGGATAGTCCTGGTGGACCCGCGATCCAAACCCAGGCAATCTGACTCCGGAGTCCATGTTCTTAGCCACTGTGCTGCTCTGCATCTACCTCTTTGGGTTAAATATGCCTCCGTCATAGGGAGGTGGTGATGGTAGATAGCAGCTGTTTTTATCAAATGCTAAGCATTCATCCATCCAACCATGATTCACTGAATGTCTGTTTGCCAGGCATTGTTCTAGGCCCCGAGGATACATCAATGGGTAAAACAAACACGGACTTCTCATGGTGCTTCCGTTAGAGTGTGTGTGTGTGTGTGTGTGTGTGTGTGTGACTGGCAATAAACGAATAAACAAACAAGAAACAATCTGACTAATAAATATCAGGAAAGAAATAAAACAAGAGGCTGTGAGGGAGAATGGGTAGCTGTTTAGATTAGGTCAGAGAAGGCTTATCTGAATGAGGGACTATTTGATCTGAGACTGAATGGCAAGAAGGAGCCAGCCACGGGAAAACCCAGGACAAGACAGTTTCAAGCAGAGGGAGCAACTAGTGCAAAAGTGCTACGGCAAGAGAGAGTGAGCCTTGTGAAAGAAGGCCGAAGCACACTGAAGGTGGGGGAGAGCGGGGGAAGATGCAGACAAGAGACGGGCAGGGCGAGGCAATGCAGCACCTTGCGGCCACACTGAGGAGTTTGGACGTGAGTCTTGCTGGAATGGGAAGTTGTTGGACTGCTTTAATTTGGAGACTGATATGATCTGACATTTTAAAACAATTACTCTGGCTCCTGCATTAATAATAGATCTAAGAAGGACCGAAATGGAAGCAGGGAGATCCCTCAGGTGAGCTTTGTCATATTTCAGATGAGAAATGGTAAGGCTTGGACTGAGGGGGCTGGGAGAGAGAGAAAAGGTCATGTTCAGGATATGTTTCAGAGGTAGAATTGTTAGGACTTGTTGATAGATTGGATGTGAAGTGTGAGAAAAAGAGAGGAGCTGAGGACGTCTTCTAGGTGTTGCCTTTGGTAACTGAGTGGAGGGTGATGGCATTCGCTGAGACGGAGAAGACTAGAGGGGAAGCAGGATTTGGAGGGGAAAACCAAGCTTTCTGTTTTGGGCCGGTTAAGACTAAGGGACTTTTTAGACAACCACATAAAGATGTTAAGTAAGTGGTTGGCTATGTGTCTGGAGCTCGATGGAAATGTCAAGGCTCGAGATACAAATTTTGGAGTCCTTGGGCTGCAAGTGGCATTTAAAGCCATAGTACTGAATCAGATCACTCTGGGAGGAGAATGGAATGACAGATCGGGGCTGAATCCTAGGACCTCTGGCATCACAACCTTTAGAAGCTGGGAAGAAGGGGAGGAGTGAGAAAGAGTGACCAGTAAAATGGGAAGACAAGTAAGACACATGGGGACCAGGGAGCCAAGAGAAGAAAGCAGTTCCAGAAGGAAGGAAGGAAGAAGGAAGAACATGGTCAACGGGGCTCAATGCTGCGGGAATTGAATACGCAAATAAGTTATCTTTGGATTTGCATCCTGGTGACCTTGTCATGAGAGTGTCTGTGAGGAGTGGAAATGGCAGCCTGACTGGAGTGGGGCGAAGGTGGGAGGATGTAGAGACGCTGACTGTGGACAGCCCTGTTAAGATGTTTTGCTGTTTGACGGAGAAAAGAAGTGGAATGTTGCTGTATAGTTTATGGGGGGTAAGAGAGAGGTCATTTAAAGAGAGGAGATTCAAGAACATATCTAGAATATGTTAGGAATGACAGAAGAGAAGGGAACAAATTGAAAGATGCTGGAGAGATTGTCATTGGGCAAACAATGACAGAGCAATCTGCTGATGAGCACTCCCATTTTTTTTTTTTTTAATTTTACAAGACCATGATATTCAAAAGTGTAGGAACCACTGGATTAGAAGACAACTAGCTCCCACACTGGGCAGAGCAATAGTAAGGGATTACTAAGAACCACCCGTTCTCTGTAACACCTACTTCCCTCATATGCTGGTGGCTTGCCCCCTCTCCTCCTTTAGATTTTTACTCAAATGTCACCTTCACAGGAAGGTCTTCCTTGTCCTCCCTATTTAAAATGGACCCACCCAGCACTCTCTACTCCATTTTTCCTGGTTTACTTTTCCTCTTTATCTAACATACCACAGATGCCATTTTATTTATATCTTTATATGTTTATTGTCTGTCTGTCTCCACTGGAACGTAAGGCAGTTATGTTGTGTGTTTTGCTGTCACCAGAGCCTAAAGCCGCACTCGGCGTATAGTACTGCTCTATAAATAGCTGTTGAAACAATTTTAATTGTTTTATCTCAAGACTCTGGCACAATTCTGACACCATAGTTTCTTGGGGTAATGCAGAGAAAGTAGGGTACAAAATGAGCGGAGACCTGTCCACTAGGATGGCAGCTCATGCTAGGAGGTGGCCAAGGTGACAATATAGAGTATCCCAGAAGGCAAGGCTCAGAATCTATCGTCTACAGCAAACCCGGCAGTGATTCGGGAGCCGCTGGGCACCACGCTTTCTGGGAGAGCCTAGCTGGGTCTAACCAGGCGGGTGAAGCCCAACAGCGGGAGTCCGGGCAGGCCTCCTGGACGGTGGGGAGGTCTGCCGATGAACAGCAGTCAAAGATCAGAACTCTGTTCCCTGCAAGAGAACTGGTAAGAACAAGGCAAAAAAGGCACCATATGCTGGATGGGACTGACTGGCAGAGCTCTAAGCCCTGGGAGGGAGGCTGGCCAGGACAGATCAGGATGGCTGGAACCAAAGCCAAAACGCAAGCTGGAGAATCACCACTAGGAGGGAAGAATGAAGGGCATGAAAGGCCACTGGTCATCCCTGGGCCATCAGGGGGAATCTGAGACCATCAGGTCAGCCCTGAGAATCCAAAACAGGCCAAGGCTATTGAAATTCCAAGCATCCAAGAAAATGACAAATATGCCCCCCTTTATTGTAAAGACCACGTACCTGACACCTGGGCCGGTCTGGAGCCTGGGAGTGCTGTGCCTTTTATCAGTGGTGCTCAGAGTATGGTCAGAAGTTAAACATAATGTCTGTTTCATGCTGAAACCGTGTCTTAACCACTACATCACTAATATGTTTACATAGTAAGACCGAAGACTTCTGATTATCACTGGTGATGGTTTTGGAATCCTTTTCTAATCCTCAGGCTGACTCCATACCTCTCTATTGCAGGATTTTACTCTTTCCAAGTCTTTTTAGGTGTCTGGTTCTCCTTAGCCTCCTAGAACTTGTTCTATTGTTCTGAGCCTGTTTTCCTGCCAACCTTTCTCTTTGTCCTGTCTGTATGAACTTTAAAGGCTGGATGGTGCATGCCCACACACACAGTGAGACCCAGGCCTTGCTTAGCAACCGTGCTGGCAGAGGGCGAGCCAGCCACGCTGAAAAGAAAGACCGCTCAGTCCCCCAGCTCCTTCATTCCTGAAATTAAGAGGAGGCCAGAGTCAGTATTGGCTGTCCCACTTCTACATCTTTTACATGTCTCTATAAATTTTGTTCCTATTATAGTGAATCCAACTTGTTGCATTTCAAAAGAAAATCTAGCTGACAGAGAATAAAGACATTCTCCCAGCACTCCTTGATCCCTTCCAAGTCCCTCCCAACACACACAGCCTTCTTTCGCAAGAGGAAATACATTTGTTCCATAGGGAAACACCCACAAAGGTCAATAGTATAAATGTCAGAAGGTTGGGAAACTCACTCACAAACTTACTTACCCTCAAGTTATAACTCAAAGGCATAACCTCGGTTTCTTTAGCTGAAAATTCTGGGTAATGACTTTGTCATCAGGATATGTTGGTTAAGAATTCTAACTGGGATCTTGGGCAACCCAAGTAACAGTCTTTGAGTCTCAGTTCCCCTATTTTAAAATAAAAGGTAATATTTTCCCTTTTACCTAATAGGGCTGTTTATTCATCTGTTTGATCATTCACTCAATGAACATTTATTGCAAAGTAGATTGGTATGGCTGGAGAAGGAAAGCCATCCCATTAGTGAAAGTACTTTGAAAATGAGTGGTACTACAGAAATGGAAGCCCTTGCTGTCATTATTGCAAAAGACTAATGTAGTTATTGGTGTTGTTCACCGAATATTTCTGGCTCTCCTCCCTCCAGGCACTTGGTAACATTCCACTTCCTGGCCCCATTGTGGTTGGGTGGGCTGCATCCCTAGATCTGACCAATGAGTGTTACCTGGAGTTTAACAGCTTTAAACTCTTAGGGTAAAAGCTTTAAACATGTCACTTCTGGACTAGAGCATTTAATTGCTGATTTGAGGCCCTCCAGAACTCTCTTGTCCTCTGCTGTGGTCACTGGTGAACTTTCAGATAGTGGCTGCTCCATCAGCCTGGGTCCCATAGTGAGGAAGATGTTGACCCCAAGGTGACTGGCTGTGAGCACGTAGCATGAGCAAGAAAAACACTACTGTTTTATGACTTGGAGGTATTTTGTTGCTGCAGCATAACTTATTCTATCTTGATAGAGACAACTAAATTAATCAACCCATGAACTGTGTTGTTGATAAGTAATTCCTCTGACTGTGCTGTTCTTTCTCTCAGTGGTTGGTTAAGTGCAAGGTCATTTTTAAAGATGCTTCAGAATTCAGACAAGGGAATAACTGCTAATCTCATACTCAGATACTATTTCAATCGCCTTACAAGGTAGGTTTATTTATATAATTTCTCAATTAATTATTGCTGTGTAATAATTTATTAGTTCTTAGTTTTTAACCCTCTTTTGAAAGAATTTTCAAAGAAAAATAAAGAAAGAAAAGTTTTCTTCCTTAAATACAGTTGGTTTTTGCTGTATTAATATACAGTCATGTGCTGCATAACAACGTTTTAGTCAACAACGGACTGCATATATGACAGTGGTCCCATAAGATTAGTACCATATAGCCTAGGTGTGTCATAGGCTACGCCATCTAGGTTTGTGTAAGCACACTCTATGATGTTTGCACAAAGACAAAATTGCCTAATGACACATTTCTCAGAATGTATCCCCTTCGTTAGATGACACTGACTGTAGTTCAAATTCTTTTAGGACAAATATCATGAAAACTGGTTTCTTTTACTGACAAAAATATCCTTATTCCTCATCCGTTGGGCAGCAGATTTCAATAAACATACTGTCCAATTCCCATGGAATCTATATTCAACGGGAGAATTTGTATGGCTCCTGTAAATTGGTATTAATTGGATCCATAAATAAGAGCACTAATGGTAATGATAAAAATAAAATAAGGTACAATCAGGAGAGGGAATGGTTGAAGCTTGGGACAATGGTCGTTCCGCTGAAAGAGAGGCAGGGAGAATGATGGCCTTCTTATGAATCTGTGGTTGGTTGGAGCAGAAGGGATGAAATATTGGGACAGAATATGGAATCAGTGGGATGACAGAGTGACCCTGATGTAACAAGACAGTCGAAATTGGAGGAGAAAAGGAAACTTCAACTCATGCAACCTGTCACCTCCATTTATACATTTTCTAAATCATGGTTCATTGCTGAACTGGAGCCCAGCTTTCATTACTCACGGTCCATGCCCCTCTTGTGAAAATGGAGGGAAGCATCACCAACTCAGTCTGAACTCATCCTCCTTAAGGTTAACCCAGGGAAAAAGCAGCCTTGCTCCAGGCCATTTTGATGTTCTCATTCATGCCAGCAAAACTCACTGTTATTACTCAGTTTTGATTTATTACTTGCCTATTTACCTCCAAGAGGACTGGAAATAAGACCATGTGTTCACTCACTCTGTATTTGTTGAGGGACCACCGTGTGCCAGGCACTGTCTTAAACCCTGAGGATTCAGCAGTTAATCAACCATGCATGTGCCTTCTGGTGTGGGGGTTACATTCTAGTGAAAAGAGACAGACAAGAAACAAATAAATATGCGACAGTAAGTTGCAATATGCAAATAAATTTATAATAGGTCAGTAATGATAAGTGCCACAAAGAGATAATTAGGAGAAGGAAGCAAGACGAGGTCTTCCTCTGGAAGGGTAGTCAGGGAAGGTGAAATTTAAGAAGAACCTTGAAGGAGGTACAGGAATATTCTAAGCAAAGAAAATGCTGTGCGTGGAGAGGGTCCGCTCAGGGGGAAGCAAGTGGAAAGGTCCTGAGGAGGGAGCATGGTTGGTGTGTTTGAAGAACCTCAAAGAACCCAAAGGTGCTGGGGTGGAGTGAGGGACATGGAGAACAGAGGGAATGAGGTCATAGAGGTGGGGATGGGGGTGCCAATGGCCCAGGTTGTATAGGGCCTGTGGAATACCTTAAGGACTTTCCATTTTATTCTGAGACAAGAAGCCTTTGGAAGGTTCCAGTGAGGGGCATGGTCAGATTTACATTTTGTAAGAATCACTCTGGCTGCAGGGCAGAGAAGAGACTGTAAGAGGGCAGGGACAGGAGACCGGAAGCCAATGGGAGCTATTTCAAGTTATAAGAAAATGCAAAAACCCAACTTCTAGAGGTAAATCAGAACAGAGATTATCCCATGGGAAACAAAGATAGTAGATGCTCCAGACCTTTCAAACTGTGTGATTATTCTAGCTAGGAGCCACATTATGAAAATTAGGTTTTTTTTATAGCTTGTGTCTACGCAAAATAACCAATAACTATTCTATAGATAAGAGAAATAAAGTGAGTTTACTTGAGCCAGAGTGAGGATTATAACCCAGGAAGGCCTTAGAAAGCATTCTGGAGAAACATGGTTTTCAGTACAGTCTTGTATCTTTTTAGAACAAAGAACATACATTAAACACACCCAGGATACATTTTTGTCAAAATTTCAAAGAGGTATTCAATTGCAGATTAGCAGGTCAACATGACTGTGACCGTGATGTCAGAAAAGGGACTAATCAGGGCGTTACCAATAGGGCGTTGGGCGTTACCAATAGGGCGTTACCAATAGGGCGTAGGAGGGGAAGTGTGCCTTCTTATCTTAAGAGAGTGTATTCCTTACTTGAATGGTTAAGTGGATGTACAATGTATGTTTGATGGGCCATAAGTCAGGCTTTTTAGTTCAAGCTGAATCAGTTTTGAACCCGAATAGTTACCCCATATACCTCAAGATGTGAAAATCTCTTGTCACTTGTGATAAAAATGTCTAACTATAACAGAAAGTTCTATATTAAAATTAAGGGTCCACTTTCCAGTCTTACTTTCCTCGGGGCACTTTTGTTGACAGTTTCTTGTGAATTCTTGAAGAAACTTTCTATGTATTTATAAGCACTTCCCCCCCCCCATGAATAGGATTAGACTACATACTGCACTATTTTGCACGTAGCTTCTTTCACTTAATGATTCAGTGTTGGCATATTTCTCTGTTAGCATGCAGGAACCCACCTCACTGATTTTAAGGTTGCCTGGGATGGTGCTGTGTGGGTGGACCATCACATATCAACCTACATATTTTTGTGCAATTGTGTGAGCATGTTTGTGGAGTAAATTCCTGCAAGTGGAATGGGTGGTTCGGTGCATCTGACATTTTTGGGGTTTTTTTTGTGAGGAAGATCAGCCCTGAGCTAACATCCATGCCAATCCTCCTCTTTCTGCTGAGGAAGACTGGCCCTGGGCTAACATCTGTGCCCATCTTCCTCCACTTTATATGGGACACCGCCACAGCACGGCCTGACAAGTGATGCGTCAGTCCGCGCCCGGGATCTGAACCCAGGCCGCCAGCAGCAGAGCGCGCGCACTTAACCACTACGCCACCGGACGGCCCCGCATCTGACGTTTTGATGGACATTTTCCAATGTCCCTTCCCACCCACCACGTGTGAGAAGGCTGCTTCTCACACCTCCACGACACTGGCTAGTGTCGCACTTCTTAATCTTCGAAAACCCACTTTGACTTTAAATCTTCTGGAAGTTTGGACAAAATGAAGCGCATGCACATTTACATGATGCCTTCAGTGTTTCAAACTGTTTTCTTATTGATCTCATTTATTCTCAAAAAATCTTAAGAGGCAGAAATCATCATCCTCCTTAGAAGAACCTAAGCAATCATCAGCCACCTTTTCCATAGAAGAGGAAAGAGAGGAGTTACATGATTTTCTCAGTGTGAAAAATTTAGATAAAACTAGAACTCACATTTCTTGTTCTTTCCCCTTGCTACTCAAGGCGTGGCCCACCCAGCAGCCTCTGCCTCCTGTGGATAACGGGTGGGCGGTGGGACACTGCCTGTAGCATGCTCCCTCCTGAGGGCATCTGACCTGAGCTCTGCTTCCGAGGGGGGCAGAGGGCTGGGTTACTCTCCCTGGGGAGGGGGTGGCAACAGATGGTGGGGAGGGAGGCCAGGGAGGTGGGAGCCTGAGGCCTGTGGGAGCAGCTGCCAGGCAGCTCGGTCTGATGGCTAATCCCTTAGGACCCAGGACTCAGGAGGGGCTCCGTGGCTGTTGCCTGAGCTGATCTGGGAAGTTGCATCTTGCCACAGTCAGCCCTGCCCTTTCTCTCTGACTTTGATCAGCAATTGCAACTCAGCTCCCTGCATGCCCACTGATGTTATCATTGTGGGGAAGACAGGAGGCCAACAGCTCTGGGTGCAGACCAGAGGCTGGGTGCTCAGCCATGACTCTGCTGGGAGGGGGCACCTCTAGCAGTCCTGCCCTTCCCATCTGCCACACTCCACCGCTGGCCCTGACACTCCCACTGAGCTGTTTGGAGGTGCTGCTGGGTGACATGCTCTGCTCTGCTTGTATTACCTTAAATTTTTAAATATGTTCTTTTTTTTTTCCTGAGGAAGATTCACCCTAAGCTAACATTTGCTGCCCGTCTTCCTCTTTTTTGTACCTGAGCCGCCACTACAGCACGGCCACTGACAGACAAGTGGTGTAGGTCTGCTCCTGGGAACCAAACCTGGGCCGCCAAAGCAGAGTGCACCAAACTTAACCACTAGGCCACCAGGGCTGGCCCATTAAATACGTTCTTTTAAAAGAGGGCTGTGATCACAGCCCGCCCAGAATCCACGCTAGAATTGTGTGCACCTCCCTGTCACAACCTTACTTCTAAACTCTAGACCAGCAATGTCCAGTAGGTAGCCACTGGACACGCGTGGCTCATTGAGATGTGCTGTAAGTGTAAAAATACACTGGCTTCTACAGACTTAGTAAAAGAAAAAAGAATATAAAATAGCTCAATATTTTTTTATGTTGGTTACTCGTTGAAATGGTAATATTTTGGATATATTGGTCTAAATAAAGTATATTATTAAAATTACTTGCACCTGGAGGGTATTATGTTAAGTGAAATAAGCCAGAAAGAGAAAGACACACACTGTATGATCCCACTCATATGTGGAATATAAACCAACACATGGACAGAGAAAACTGTATTGTGGTTACCAGGGGCAATGGGGGTAGAGAGTGGGCACAAGGGGTGAAGGGAGACATATGTATGGTGATGGACAAATAAAAATGTACAACCCAAAATTTCACAATGTTATAAACTATTAAAACATCAATAAAAAAATTACTTGCACCTATTTCTTTGGACTTTTAAAAATAAGGCTGCTAGAAAATGTAAAGTAAGTGGCTGATGTGGCTCGAATTATATTTCTCTTCTACAGTGCTGGTCTAGACACATGTGCCTTATTCATCATCTTTGTAGCTGCTTCAAATCCTGCTTGGAAGGAGATAGGGTATTAAGGAAGGAAGGAAGAAATAAAGCAAGAAAGGGAGAGAGGAAAAGAGCAGAGGAGGGAGGAAAGATATTTTCATCTAAGGAGACCACGTGGAAAGAACATGAACTGGCGTCCGATCTCTGTCGTACCGTATGGTTGGGCCACCTTGGGCAGGTTACCCGAACTTCTCTGAGCTATAACTTCCTCATCAGTAAAATACAGGTAATAGTTACCTGACAGGAGTATTTTGAGGTTTAGCAATATCTAAAAAGCTCCTAGTACAGTGGCAGATGTATATGACTTAATGAATAGCAGTCTTTTTGCATCAGCAGCATCGGAGCCAGCTCATGATAGGTGCTCAACAAAGGATTTTGAACATACAGATGTGTGAATGTTTGAGGTGTGGGTGGGAGGTGATCGCCCACCCAATGCAATCTGTTTTAGAGCATCTTATCCCCCGTCTGTGTGTGCCCACCCAAGGACTGAGTGGAACCACTGTGGAGAGCCACCTTCTCTCGCCCGGCTCTTTCCCACCAGCTTGCAGTCTCTTCACTTGTATTCAATGTGCCTGTTAGTTGGATTGTTCTCCCTTGTTCCCTGGGGACCCGTCTGGGAAGTGCCCAAGTTCCACCTGGATAACTGCCGGGGAGCATGGTGGACCAATTTGCTGCTGCTTACTAATTTCTTGTCGGTCCAGAATGCGGTGAGTCCCAAGTTGTGGACTATGAAAACGCAGATGGGTGCAAATGTGGAGTCTCACTTTGTGTGGTTTGGAGAACTTTCCAAGGACCAACCCGAGTCTGAGCTCCTTTCTTTTGGCATATTCTCTGGAGTAATAGTGATGCTGTAGGAAGGTGAGCTGTGGGCGGGCAAACTAGCCTCCTGTGATGGAGTGGGTACTAGTCTTGGCAGGAACAGTTGCTGGGAAAAGCAGAAGGAGGGAGCAGGGTGGTGGGCATTGAGGGGCCAACCATCTAGGTGCATGTCCCGGATGCAGCTGACCCTGTTCCATCACAGTTCCCACCCATTCCAGTCCATATTGCCCCATGGGGAAAGGACACTTTCTCCTCCACACAGAGAGCCTATAATGGGATGGAGCATTGCACCATCCCCTCACCATAATGAATTCTGTCCAATTTCAAGCCAGACCTGACAGAGTTGGTTGGGAGCAACAACCTCGGTATACGTTGGTCGTGGCTTCCCTCAAGCCCTAATATCCTCATGATGAACTTGGAGCAAATGGAAGTGAAGTAGCTATAATTGAATCACGTCACTGATTTTGCATATGCCTGGAAAGTGCAGCTGAAAAGAGAATCATGCAAGTGTGGCTAATTACTGCACACAACCACTTACCAACTAGATGGCCACCTTCCATTTGCAAGTGCCCAGCAGCTTCGACAGAGCGTACATCACCGTCTAACTGCCTTCAGGTGGGCCCACATCTGTGACAGGGCCCACGGAGGATGGTCTGGGCTGTTTTCCCAGATGCAGACTGGCTTGGGCCATATGGGGGAACCAGTGGCAAGGACACCAGCCAGTCTCCTTGAGGTAAAGCCCACCTTAGATCCTTCAAAGCAGAGGTGTGAAGGCCCTCAAACCTTGAGTACTCACAAATGTCCCCACCATGAGAACTTCTCTTTAACTGGGACAAGGAAAGCTGTCACTTCTGTTGGGTAAGTCTGGTCTCCCTTGGACTGAGGGGGTTGGGGAAGAGACCAATGTGCCTTTTATCTCTGAAGCACTGGAGAGAATTGCCCCCAGGAATTTTCTCACACCGAAGGAGAAATACAGGTAACTGCCTCATTTGGTACGAACATGGACAGCCTGTGGAACGATGTGGCTTTGGCCAGACAATCTCACGCCAATCATGCGTGGGAACTCTGGCGTTTCCCACAAAAGCCTGTCTGGAGCCAGGCCTCTCTTCTTTTTTTTTTTTTTTTTTTGTGAAGAGATCAGCCCTGTGCTAACATCTGCCACTCCTCCTCTTTTTTTGCTGAGGAAGACTGGCCCTGGGCTAACATCCGTGCCCATCTTCCTCTACTTTATATACAACGCCGCCACAGCATGGCTTGACAAGTGGTGCGTTGGTGTGCGCCCGGGGTTCTGAACCGGTGAACCCTGGGCCGCCGCAGCAGAGGGCACGCACTTAACCGCTTGGGCCACGGGGCCAGCCCCCAGGCCTCTATTCTAAATGAACATGTTCTCTCCACCTGGAGTTGGGACAGGGCGGGCAAGGCCAGGAAGAGACAACATCGACTCTTCTGACTCCAACCACAGGGGAACGATAACTATTTCTTACATTCCTATCAGGTGAGAGAGTTTAGTTTCCACAGCTGTCCTAGGAAATAAGCTATGACTGTTTTTTTAAACAAGGGAGAAAACTTGTCTGAATCTCCATTTTGTAAAATGGTAATAATAATACCTACCATCCAGGCTTGTTACAAGGATTAGATGAGATGAGGTAGTAACTCAAAATTCCTTTCTCTTCCCGTGGAAATTTCCCCCATCTGCCTACTGAATTCTCCCTCCTGGTCCAGGAAGGGGAGACAATGTGGAGCAGACCTGGAAAGCGAAGGAAAGAAGTACCCTTTGCTCCTCTGTTTTCAGTGCAGTGGCTGGACGTGGTACCTTGCCAGTGATTCCAGTTCCATCTCACGACGCCGGCGATCACCTTCATCTATGGAAAGTGAGTCCGATTGGGACCAATGTTTCTCCCCATGTGGCCTCTTTCACAAAACTTTCAGAGAGTGCTCCAGTTTTGTGCAGAGCAGATTTTGAAATTTAGGAAATGAACTTTTCAGAAGAGTTCCGACACTGAGTCCTCCATGTTGACCTTCTTCCCCAGTCTCCTCCCATCTTGGTCCAACACAAATCCGTATGTGTTTTGGCAGAGTTATAATCAGTGTGTACGTAGTATGTAGCGCTCAGCTTTTTCTACTGAACTGTTCTTATAAACGTTTCCACATAGCGACATGACCTGCATACTTGTCAGCTTTAGAATTTATGGACTGCTTTTACGGTTGGTCTAGATTGGTCTAGATTGTTTCCAATTTTTCATGATTACAAATGGCATCTCCAGGAATGTCTTTGAACACACTCCTTTTTCGTTTAGTTATTTCCCTGGAGACATATTTCCGAGTGGAATTACTAGGTCAGAGGGTAGAAACAATTTTGTGGTGCCTGTTACACACTGTGAGGCTGCTCTCCGGAAAGAGGGAAGTAATTTACAGCACCCCAAGCAATACATCAGTGTACCCGCTTCCCTGAGGTGCATATTTATCACCTTAATTTTTATTAGTTTTAGAAAAGCTTTAAGTCCTCAATAATTCACAGAGAGACTTATAGTTTCTGGATTACCCTTGCCATATTTTAAAAGACTTATTATTCTTTTTTTTGTTAAAATACATGTTCAGTTTAAGAAACATTAGACAATATTAGGATGAAGAGAGGGGAATCACCCAAGGAGAGGTGAATTGGCTGTTAATATCTTGGTGTTTATCCGTCTGATCTTTTTTTTGCACAGCCTTTTACACATGAAAGGATTCTGCATATACACTTTAGTATCTTTTCCTATATTATTATTTTTTTTAAATAAACATAATTTTAATGTCTGCATAACATTTCATTCTGTAAATGAACTACAGTTTTCTTATACCTTCCCCTACTGTTAAATACTTGGATTATTTCCAATTTTATGCTTTTGTAAATAATAGCCTGATAAACATTTTTGTGGTAACCATTTGTCTGCAACTCTGATATTTCTTTTGAATGCATATCCTTAAGATGACTTACTGGGTCAAAGGGCATGAATGTCTTTCAGGCTCTTAAAGCATAATGACAAATTGCTTTCCTTAAAGATTGTATCAATGTTCAGTCCTCTGGCTATCTAAATACACCATTGCCAAAATGGAATATTAATAATAAAACAAAACAAAGCACAAACTTTGTTATATGGATATGTAAAAAACATTCATTTTTCACATCCAACTTGCAAGTTTTTGATTAGTAGGGGGCGGAGCTGAGTTCCAAATGTGCATTGACCAGCTCTGTTTCCTAGTACCTGTTCATGCCCTTTGCAAGGCAGACATTTAAATCTCTGGCTGCCCCATGATGTTGCTCATTCCAGCCACATGCAAACATTCAAGAATCTTGGGCAAGGGAAATGCATCCTAATTTTAACTTAATCTAAAAATTGAACAATTAAAAAAAGGCAAGGCTGCTTTTTTACATTCATATCTTACACACACAAAACTTTCTAAATTCAAATGTAAAAGACTTTTTTGACTGACCATTAAGAAAGATTGTTCCCCGGCTAACTACTAAGAGATGGCTTGTTGGTATAGGGAGTTTGAGTCAGAAGACGTGGGTTTGAATCCTGACTGGTAAATTATAGCTGGGGGACCCACGCTACATTGCTGGACTCTCATCTTCATTTTTCATGTCTATAAAGTAGGGATGATAACACTTCACATCAGGGTTGGAGTGAGATCATACACATGGGACCTAGCACAGTGCTTGTTCATCAGTGATGTGTAACCATATGTCAACTCAGTCACCTGTCCTTTGAGATTCCATGTAATTGCCATTGTCCCCAGCCACTGTCTGAAAGCAGTGGCAGCCCCTTGCCCCTCCCAGTCTCTGCAGGGATTGGAGGAGGGGTGGCTGGAGAGCCTGCTGTGAGATTCTGCTCAGCTAGACCCATTCAAGGAGTGGCCCTGTCACCATCTTCTCTGCACAATCCCTGTTCCACAAAGAGTCCCCTTGTGTCTATGATCAGGCCCTTTCCTTGTTTTCCTCTCTAAATACCCTTTCTAGAAGGTATTGGTGTGGAGCAGATTTTAATGAAGGCTTCCAGATTGGAGGGTTTGCATCCCTCTTGCTCCGCTTCACCCCTTCTCACATACTTCCTGCTTCGCCACTTCTCAATTCCATCTCCTCCGAGGGGGGATGTGCAGAACATGAATGAGTGCCCAGTCCTGGGGGCAGCGGGAGAGGGCAAGGTGCCCGTACATATATGCACACTGTGCAGGGAGGGAGGGGTGAGGCCCAGGTTCTCCCCTACCCATTCTCCTGAAACAAAAGCATCCTAATCTAGTGTCTTATTTTCTCAGAATGGGGGATGTGTGTGTGCAATTTTTGATAGCATAATAGAGTTGATAAAAGCATATGAGATCGACTATGGAAATGATAAGATCTGATAATCATGTTGTTATTTATTTGGGGAATCAAGATTTAAAAAAAAAATGCTCTAAACATCCTCTCATAGAAAAATCTACCACTCTATGTCTACTTCATTTATACTCACATCTCTCCAGGATGAAGCCCCTGAGAGTGGTGGGAATCAGGAATTAGTGTGATCTCCTCCCTTTACTCCAACATGGAATCAGGCAAGGAAGGTGGAGAGTAGATAAAGGTGTCTTTGGGATGCTCAGCAAGGCCCTCCCTGCCCTCCCTCCCCGCACAAGCCTCTTAGACAGAGTGGGCTGATTACCTGGAGAACTCCTGGATCACTCATCCCTCCTGCCGCCAGAGGAGGGGCTCCCTGAGCAGGAGCTGAGACATGCTCAGGCCCACTGGGGCTCCACTTGGGGTGGACTCTCCCTCCCCACAAGACAGTCGAACCTCAAGAGCTCCCTCAGGGGTGGCGAGCAGCTGGGCCCAGCAGAGGCAGGGCTGGCCAGTTCTCTGGGGGATGCGGCCTCGGCTCTGTGATCGGCTATGGCTGCGTGAAGGGCTCTGGAGATTGGGGCAAGTGCCTGCAGGTACAGGAGGGGCAGGTATGTGGCCTCAGCAGGCCGGGCAGCCCAGGCAGAGGAGAGAGGGCAAGCCTCTGCAGGCTTCTTCAGAGGTGGCATTTGTAGCAGGTCCAGGTATTTAGTGAAGAAAGGGCAAGAGAAATCCTGTGGGGAGTCCTGGTCAGGTCGCTGGGGGCTGACAGAGGCTTTTGAGGCAGCCCGGGGTCTTTTCAGACCAGAGGGAGATGCTCTGCTATTCCTTCCCCCTCTTGGGCTATGGCCCCTGAATGGGCCTTTCTGAAGGACCAACGCTCTTGAGAGAACGGGGGTGGTGGTGAATGCTTGAAGCTCTGGGCCTTTACTCAATCCCATTGTCCCGGGAACAGTTCCCTCAAAGAGCCAGAAAATACAACCGCTAACCTGAGTTGGCTGAGGGAACACTTTAACACCAGGTTATTTGTCCTGACTAGCGGCTGGGGGGCTCAGGAGGATGAAGGACTAACAGAAGGGAAGGTGGGGCTATCTCCCTGTCTGGTTGTTTTGGTACCTCTGTGTATTAGCTCATAACCAAGTACCACAGACTGGGTGGCTTATTTCCAGATAAGCTAATTTCCAGTTTCCAACAGAAACTTATTTCCTCACAGTTCTGGAGGTTAGAGGTCTGAGATCAAGGTGTTGGCAGGGTTGGTTTCTTCTGAGGCCTCTCTCCTTGGCTTGTGGATGGCAGTCTTCTTCTGTGTCCTCACATGGTCTTCCCTCTGTGTCTGTGTGTGTCCTAATCTTTTCTTCTTCTAAGGACATCAGTCATATTGGATTAGGGCCCACCACAATGACCTCATTTCACCTTCATTTTCTCTTTAAAGATCCTGTCTCCAAATAGTCACATTCTGAGGTACTGGGGGTTAGAATTTGGGGAGACACAATCTACCCCACAACAGTCTATATCAGGAAGCTTTATTAGTTTTGTCATAGTGGTGGTTAGCTAGTGGAGACCTGTCTGACTCCCGAGAGGAGGTGCCACGGATTGGGCTCCTGTCCCCTAGGGACTTAAACAAATATTTACTTGAGTGGATGTGGGTTTTTATTGGATGGCCTGACTGGATGGTTTACCACCCACCTAGGACAATGAGCTCTTAGTACCTCCCCACTCTAGACCTGGCTGGGAACCTACTTGAGTGTCCTTGTGACTGAGGAGACCTGGCCCCAGTGTCAGCATCTTTCTTAGAGGCTGTCATGGGAGGTAGATTTCAATCCTTTAGCTAAAAGCCAGCACTACCCAAGCTTGTGACTATGCAACTACATTTAGCTTTTAAATGGAGGGAGGCATAAAAGGTAGGGCTTTTTTCCTTCAGAGAACACACTTGTATAGAATGCCAGTATTCAAGGAGGACAGAGCGAGAGGGTTTGGCAAAAGGTGTGGTAAATATACAGCATTATTACCATACCTCCCAGCCACACTCCTGGCAGACATTACTAATCAATCACAGCACCACTGAGCTAAGACTCCTCCTCCATTCCAAGCATTAACACTAAACTAGAATTGGCACTTTGGATAAAAATCATTTTGCTCTTTGGATCACTGTGGTGATAACTGAATGGTATCTCGTCCCTTCCTCATGCAGAACCACAGCAACTTCAAGCTGGAATAGGATTGTCAAAGCCATCATCCAAGTAGGATTGTGCCTGAGTTTGACATTTCTTCTGTGCCACTGCAGATCTCTTGGTCCCAACCCTCACAATTCCAAGTAGGTACAACCAGACTGTGCCTCACTCTGATTCTGTGTCCCTAAATCTCATTTCTTGCCCCAGAACCTCCTACCTACTGTAGCTTGAACTCCTTAAGGAATATTCCTGTCCTTACACATGCGCAACAGCAAAGTGTGGAAGAATTAATTTGTGTGGGGCCACACTTGACCCATGGGGGATAGAAGATAGTAGGAAAATGCTTCCCTCTTTCATCCCCAAGACAATTTTCAGGTGCATTTCATAAGGCTCCACAGAACGTTCTGGAAGAATTGAGCATTGGCCACCTTGATAGTGCATCCTTGTACTGGCTTTCCCTGCTTCCCTGTTCTACTACCCCGTCCTTCATTCCTATCCCCACATGAACTACCTGCACCAAGATATTTGTCTTAGACTCTGCATCCAGGTGGGGGAGCGATCCCTGGATTCCCCTCTCACCCCATCCCCCTTCTCTGTGCCTGGAGCGGGTGCCTGTGTCCACCCTGTGTCCCATCCTGCCTGACAGTCATTTCTCTCCTCAATCAACCACACTTATGTCTGCACAGTGCTTTGTAGATGACAAGGGACATTCCCAAGCTTGATCTCATTTTTGAGCTGCACAGTAATCTTCAGGGTGAGGCAAGGATGCCATTACTATCTCCGTCTAGACAAGGAGACTCAAGTTCAAGGTCCTGCTCAGGGTCATGCAGCTAGTAAATGGTCAAGTCTCAAGGCTAACCAGGCTAACTCCAGCCCAGTTCTTGCCCCACTGCGCCACAGCGGCCCCCCACCAGCCTCTCTCAAAGGCAGGCCTCACAGGAAGCGCCTCTGATCGCCAAGGTTTCAAGCCTTTCATGTCCTCAAACTTTGCTGTGCAGGAAACTGAAGAGCGCCCCTGTCAATGCCCTCTCTTCTTTGCAGAAGTAAACACGTCCTTGTCCTCCTCGGGGCCATGCTGTTCTTGGCGTCTTTCACCGCCACTGCTCTGCTCACACTGGATTATGACCTTCCGGTCGCAGCTCCGTCAGAAGCAAGGTAACCGCCGTTCCCAACCTGCCTGGCTCTGCCCCTCGCCTGCCCTCAGAATGGCCAGGACCTCCCAGGGAGGGCTGCTGAATGAATACCAGGCTGTTTGCACTGTGCGCGCCGGCTCGTGGAAAAACTGGGAGGGGAATGTTCGGTCTGGATGGGAAAGTTGATTGCACTTTGTATTTTTGTTTCTGAACTTCTGAACCTTTCAACTTGCGCTGGGGGGGTCTTCTCGCCACCGATATGCTTCTCGGAGGAAAGGAGCGCCCCCACGTGGCTGTATTGTGTTTCTCCTCTAGTGGCAAACTGCTGCTGGGAAGCTCTATTGTAGGATGGAGAGACTGAAACTGGAGGAAGTGGGGGTTACCTCTTCAAGGTCACATGGCCAGTAAGTGGCATAGGTGTGAGTTGAACCTAGGACCTTACCCGCTATGCTATTTTGCCTCCCCAGTGAGGTATGTATAACAATTCTTCCTTATAACCACCCTGTGTGCCACACAGGAAAAACTGGTATGATTACCTGCCAATCTATTCTCAGTACAGCAGTCAGAGTGATGCAAATGAAAATCAGATCATGGATGGGTTGGCCCCGTGGCTTAGCGGTTAAGTGCACGCGCTCCGCTGCTGGCGGCCGGGGTTCGGATCCCGGGCGTGCACCCACGCAACGCTTCTCCCGCATGCTGAGGCTGTGTCCCACATACAGCAATGAGAAGGATGTGCAACTATGACATACAACTACCTACTGGGGCTTTCGGGGAAAAAAAATAAATAAATAAAATTATTAAAAAAAAAAAAAGAAAATCAGATCATGTGAGTCAGCTGCTCAAATTCTGCCCATTGTTCTCACAATAGAAGCCCTGTCTGACCTCATGTGTCACTACCCTGCTTGCTGACTCTGGATCAGCCGCACCGGCTCCCTTACCCTGCACACCAAGCACGCCCTCTCCTCAGGGCCTTAGCATTTGCTGTTCCCTCACACTAGAATGCTTTTCCTTTAGAATCTAGAGCTTGGCAGGCCTTGCTCCTTCACTTCCTTCAGATGTCTGTGCAAATGTTGCTTTCTCAGAGCAGCCATTGCTGACATCCCAATAAAAAATAGCCCAGAACCATGCCTTGCACACAAGTACTTGATATGTATTTGTGAGTGGATGAAATGAATGAATGAATGAATGAATGAATGACTACACCGCAGGCCTTTTGACCAGGGGAGCATGATGCCTTCCCATCATGTCATTGGCCTCTGAGGGTATGGCCAGGTCACTGAGGAGGCGCTCACTCCTGTTGAGCCCAGCGGTTCTTAACTCTGGATGCACATGAGAGCCACCTGGGGAGACTTGAAATCTCACTGACGGTCCAGCACACACCATCTCGGACCAATTGAATCAGAATCCCTGGGGATGTGGCCCAAGTAACCAAATTTTATGAGAGCTTCTATGAAGAGGTTCACTTCTTTCAGAAAAGGTTCATTTCTGAGAACCACATTTTTAGAGTTATCCTGACACACCAGCCACCAGAAACAACTATTGAAACTGAACACAGTCATCATATTTCCTTGAGATCCAGGGTGGAGGGACCCAAGGGAATTTGGAATTTTAGCAAGCCAGCCGCGGCCTAAGGCAGGATCGTGCAGTCACTGTTTGTAGATCATTACTGAGGAAATGAACAAATGTACCCCAAATTTTCCTTTGGATTTGCTGATTGCCCCAATGGACATCTGAGGGATTCTCTTTTCCATGTCCAGATCAAACATAATCTTTTGCCTTATTTCCTTGTTTATTTCAGTGAAAATGCAACTACGTTGTATTTCTTGGAGTACTACACTAAGCCCTACTGCTGATTTGGGCCATTCCTCGTGGGCCTCTTTCTGAGCATTTTCATGCACCAAAACCACCAGGCAAACATTCTCAAGACCAAGGTAAGGTTTCCCCGTAACTGTAAGGGCTGGGTCTGCTTGGGACTGGAGTGGCCCATCTGGCTAGGCTCTTCCAAAGCTACAGAAGAGTCAGACTGCTGGGTGTGCTGTGGTGTGTTAGCAATGTCTCTCTGTGCTAAAGAATAAGGGGGACCTTATCTTCTTGCCAGAGCGTGATTCTCTGCTTTCCTCACTAAGCTCCCCTAAGAAAGCTCCAGACCTGGAACCCAGTGGGGTCCCACCCACTGGAGCCTCAGTATAGACCCAGGGAAACCACTGATGTGGGAAAACACACCCAGTGAGATTACAATGGCAAGACCCTCTTCTGGAAGGGCGTAGTTACTTGGGTTGGATTTTTAACAACACAAGCTCTTTGGTTTCTATAGCGAGGATTCTTGATCAGATTTGATGCTCCTATCTGGGAATCAGGATATGTGGTGTCTAGAGGGACAGAAGCTGTTACTTTGCCTTCGGAGTAGGCCTAGAGCACGCAACTCCTTCCCTGGCTCCTTTGTGGGCAATCATTCTGGTTCACCATCCAACCTCATTACTTAAGCAGGGTTCATCTTGGATGCCTCCCCATCATGGACCTCTCCTCCCCATCCAATCAGCCACCAAGCCCTGTTGATTGTTTCTCCCGCTGTCTTCTCTTAGCCTCTCCAACCAACCTTGTTGTAGCTCTTCTCACCTCTCACTGGAACTTTACTAGTTTTCTTGCCTCCAGTCTTGTCGAGCTCAAATCCACCCTCGGGGCAATCTATTTAATACACTACCTTGGCCTTAGCCTTGAACTGTGCAAAAGCTTTTCATGTGGCTTCCATTTACCCACAAGACTTCGAGGGCAGAACATGTCTTACTCACCTCTGAATCCCCAGCTCCCGGTTCTGAAATCCTGATGCACTGAAGGCACTCAATAAATGAATGAAGGATAATTTTCTTCTCAATGGAAGAAGGGCCGGGAATTTCCTTGCACTATTAGGGTACAATGCTGGCCCCAAATCCCCTCTGCTAGGCTCTACCTTTGTTTGCCTAGGTCTTGTGGGTACCTCTCCTAGATATTCCAGAGAAGAGGACTTGGTCCCTGGAAAATCTTGTGTTGCTCACGGCAGGAACAGGAGCTAGGGCTTAATTGGAAGGAATGGATATACAAGCGCTATGTGACTTTTTCTGTAGGTTGCAGTTATGATATTCCCCTGAAAATGCACAATGCAGTTGTACATTTAGTGGCAACAGAGTGCCATTAAAGATTTTGCTTTGGTGTCGTCCATGTTACATGGGTGCCTAGGAAGAAAATGGGTGCGAGCAAAGGGCAAAACCTAAGATGAAGACAGAGCATTTGGGAACCACTCTGAGGGCTGGGTCAGGACCAGGGAGCATGGAGCTAGAACACAAGTCAAGCTGAGCTGGAGAAATGGTGGAGAAAGGATGGGGAGACCAAATGCAAACCTTTAGAAGCCAGAAAATAAGGAAGAGTCTAAGCTAGAGGCAGCCGGGGCAAATGCCAGGTGCTAGGCATGAGATAAGGCAGTGTGCATTATGAGTAAAAGAGTGAAGGGGATCCTAGGCTAAAAGAGGGGGCTGGAGGACAGCCTCTGAGGAAATACCTTTCCTCCCCTGTAGGCAGAACCTAGAGCAGAAACCTGAGACCCAGGAAGGGGAGAGCTTCTCTTCAGAGACAAGATGGTGGAATGATAAGATGTTAGTTCAGGGCCGGCCCCATGGCTTAGCGGTTAAGTGTGCGCGCTCCGCTGCTGGCGGCCCGGGTTCGGATCCTGGGCACGCAGCGACGCACCACTTCTGCGGCCATGCTGAGGTTGCGTCCCACATACAGCAACTAGAAGGATGTGCAGCTATGACATACAACTATCTACTGGGGCTTTGGGGGGAAAATAAATAAATAAAATCTTAAAAAAAAAAAAAAAAGATGCTAGTTCTGTTCACCGTAGGTGTCATCACAGCATCTTGAGAACTAGAAGAGAGAAGCAAGAGAGGTCCTTGGAAGAGAGGTCTGAGTCTAAAAAGGTCAAGTAAGGTGACATAAGATCTAAGATCTTGAACTGAGCCCAGAAATAGAATTTAACTCATGGGGCTTTTCTTTAAACTGAAAACTTCTCCATTCTCCCATTCCTTCCTCCATTTTGTGTCGCTGGCGACTAGGGTGCAGCCCAGGTAGGGGCTGTGGGCCCGGGGCCTTCACATTTGTGGAGGGGGCAGAACCAGTCAGGGAGCCTTATTTGGTTAAGGAACAGAATGGGAGGTTAAGAGCAGTGGGAGTAGGTTAGAGCATTATCTTTTCTTTTAACTTTCATTTAAAAATGATTTGTGACAACATGGATGGACATTGAGGGTATGATGCAAAGTGAAATAAGTCAGAGGGAGAAGGTCAAATACCGTATGATTTCCTTCATCAAGCAGTAGATAATAACAACAATAAACAAACACATAGGGACAGAGATTGGATTGGTGGTTACCAGAGCGGAAGAGGGGAGGGAGGAGGGTGAAAGGGATAATTCGGTATGTGTGTGTGGTGATGGGTTGTAATAAGTATTTTGGTGGTGAACATGATGTAATCTATGCAGAAATAGAAGTATAATGATGTACACCTGAAATTTATACGTTATAAACCAATGTTACTGCAATAAACAAAAAATTAAAAAATAAAAAATAAAAAAAATAAAAATGATTCGAGATTCACGGCAAGTTACAAAAATAGTATAGGAGGTCTTGTGTACCCTTGACCCAGGTTCCCCCACTGGTAACATGTTACATAACTATGGTACATTATCACAACCAAGAAATTGACATTGGCACAATCCATAGACCTGAGATCCACAGTTTTATGTGCACTCATTTGTGTGTGTGTATAGTTTTGTGTGTAGATTTGTGTAACCACTACCACAACTGAGGTACAGAACTCCCCTGTCACTACAAAGATCCCCCTTGTGCCACCTCTTTATGGTCACACACCCCACTGTCCCCCACCCCACCCTAACTCTAAACCCTTGTAACCACTAATCTGAACCTTTTTTAGTCAAATTTGGACACTGATTGAAGTTTACAAATAGACACCTAAAGTGACAGTAATAACACCAAAAAAGTAAGTTAGTGTAAAAGGAAGTAAATACACAGTGGCCCCAATGGGCTATGAGTGGTGCCTTTCCTTTCCCCGTAGGTGCAGGCTCTGCAGGGGTGGATTTGCTCCCTGTCTACCCTGTTCGCGGTGGTCGCTCTGGCGTACGCAGTGGACGACACCTCCGCCACCTCTTCAGCTGCCGCTGCTCTCTACCAGGCGCCCCACCGGACCCTGTGGGCGGCGGCCGTGGGCTGGGTGGTGTTTGCCTGTCAGGAAGGCTATGGAGGTACGACGCTCACGGGCTGGTCTGTTGAAGACGACAAATGTGAAAACACAGGGTACACAGAGGGGCTTTTATTTCCTGATGAATGACTGATATTGACTCAAAAACATCAATCTGTCTATGTCCTTGGGGAAAACATCCCACATATCTGTTTTAGATTTTTACATTGATTTATGTACAAATGCAGGTTCTGAGAGAAAAACGTGCAGCCTCTCCAATGAAGCTAGTTTGGAAGTTGGAAGAGAACTCAGGCAGGGTTCTTATGTAGTCAGAAGAAAAATCCCAGTGCCGGGGACAAGAGTCCTGGTCACACCCACCCTGGGCCTCGGGTTCCTCATCTGAGGGTGGAGACTGAATAGTTGCCAAATTCCCTAGCCCTTTGAAAACTGAGGAAACTGTTTCTGCTGAGCCCGGGCTTCAATGTTCAGGGGGTCAAGTAGAAAAAGGGCTTAAATGGGAAGAGAAGGTTCTTCTCCAGATTAGAAATGTTTATTCAAGTCACCTGCCTTTTTTTTTCCTTTCTTATTTGGCATGAGGTAGGAACTGGGTGCCTGAGGTGTCAGCAAATGACAGGAGAAAGGCTGGCAGGAATCATCCAGAAAGGTTCTGGCCTCACATGCCCAGAGGCCCCAGAGCAATGGAACTAGAGCCAGGTGGAGGCCTGACCGCTTTACACCCTAGGGAAGCAATCAGGATGATTTGCTTAAACCTTGACCTGTGAACACAAACGTGTTAGCCTCAGCAAAGCGGGTTGGAAATCATGGTTTAAGGAGGAAAATAACAAAGTGATCATAACAACTTGTGCTGACTGAGCACACACTCACGCCAGGACCTGTGGAGAACTTCCCCCATCTGATCCCAGGTAACCCGGCCACACCCCTGTAGGTAGAGCTATAATTAGCTGTGTTTCTCAAAGAGAAAACCGGTGCCTGGAGATGAAGCAACATGTGAAGGTCACAGCTGGTTAGTGGTTGAGCAAGAACGTGAACCCAGGGCCAAGTGCAAAGCCGAAAGCCTGCACTCCTCTTATCTGTGCCATTGCACCCCCCCAGATGTTTGATTATTCAAATTGTTCTGGAATTTTAGAGTCTCTGATGGTGAGCGATTTGTTCTTTAAAGAAATTAGAATTAAATTATAATTAAAATGAATTATTTTAATTATTATTTTCTTTTTTGGTGAGGAAGATTCGCTCTGAGCTAACATCTGTTGCCAATCGTCCTCTTTTTGCTTGAGGAAGATTCACCCAGAGCTAACATTTGTGCCAATCTTCCTCTATTTTTTTGTATGTGGGACACTGCCACAGCGTGGCTGGCGAGTGGAGTAGGTCCGTGCCTGGGATCCAAACCCAAGAACCTGGGCTGCTGAAGCGGAACGTGTGGAACTTTAACCACTTGGCCATGGGGTCAGGCCCAATTATTTTAATTTTAAAAGCATTCTCTTATATGGAGAAATGACGTTAAAGAAGAAATGGGCTGCATTCTCTCTGACTGATGTATGTGGATATGTGGGTGGCTGTTTGGATCACAGGACCACACCCTAACACTGCCCCCACCTGGTGATGAGGACCCTGAACTGTCAACAGAGCCTCAGAACATAAGCAACTACTCCCCCGGCCTGGCACAGGCAGCCTATGATGTGGTGGCAAACGTCACAGTATTCCTGTCTAAGGTGAAAAGTCCTGCGGCGTCAAGAATAACCAGCTAATGCACATCTTGATTAGAGAGGGGTGACTTAGGTTAAGTTAGAAGATTAAACAAATCTGCAGCGTTATTATTACAGTGGAGACAGTAAATGCTGTCAATCAGTGGTCTGAATACGGATGATACCTCTTAATCCAGGTGACGAACAAACCGTTCAGTTTATTCTTGAGCAATTTATCCTTCAAAGGTGTGACGTCATTGGCCAATCACAGTTACAGGTGCCAATGATGTTCTAGGTCTGTATCTCCAACACTATTTGTAAGATATCAAGGTTGATTAGTAGGTGAATCTAGGAGGTGACGGGTTAGATAAATGTTTAGAAAATATGTGTCCACCTGATGACCTTTAGAAAAGTATATGTATTAAAGAATATCTGAAGAAGTGTTTAATGGAGACTCCCAAGGTGAGAAGGGATCTTGATGGCTCAAATAGTCTTTTCCATCATCTTCAGTCAGTGCCAAAGAAGACCCAGCTGGTCTTGTTCTGTTCAAAGTCGTATTCCATTTAGTTGCCAGAGTCATTTTCTGACCATGTTACTCTTTTAGTTAAAACCTTTCAGTGGTGCCCTGTCACCTACAGCAATGGTCCTCAAACTTTAGTAACAGATGGGCCCATTCTAAAGGAATAAGAATTCTTTTGGATCCTTAGTATTGGCTTAAATTATTTTAATTCTCATTTTACCTAAACACGAACAAACATAAACCTAGATACAAATTTTTATGCTAATAGCACATATACTTAGCCAAAACAAATTTATAAAGTAACCATAAACTATAAAACCAATAAAATCTGAATTAACATTAATTTAATGTGATCAGTAGTTGGCTGGAACCAATTGTAGCTCACAACGTGAACACGGTGTTGTTTGCTGTAGGGCATGTTCTCTTGTGTTTGATTTACCTGTATGACACGGGCTCTTTGCTGACTTTTCCTACAACTGTTTTGTTCGTTCCACAGTCTTGGTTCATCTTATCATTGGGCATTCACTTGGGGGCAAATACATCTTTTGTCTATGAGTCCATCTCTGTATATTCACTCGATTCCATAAAATACTGAATGCTTGCTCTATGCCAAGCACTGTTCTAGATGCAGGGGATATAGCAATAGACAAGAAAAAAATTCCTCTCTTTTAGGAGATTACAATGGGGTAGGAGAAGTGGAGAGACCAGGAGACTCTAGTAGGCTGAATAATGCTCCCCAGAGATGCAAGGTACTAATCCCTGGGACCCTGTAGAGGTGGTTAAGTCAAGGATCTTGAGATGGAGAGATTATCTTGGATTATCTGGGTGGTGGGCCTTAAATGCAATCATGTGTATCCTTATAAGAGGTGGGCAGAGGGAGATCTGACGGCACACGGAGGAGACAACAATATGAAGATAGAGTAGAGAGAGATTTGAAAATGCTGGCATTGATTGGAGTGATGTGGCCACAAATCAAGGGATGCTGGAAGCTACCAGAAGCTAAAGAGGAATGGGTTCTCCCCTGGAGCCACCAGAGAGAATGTGACCCTGCCAACACTTCGATTTTGGCCAGTGATACTGATTTTGGACTTCTGGTCTCCAGAATGATGAGAGAATCAATATCTGTTGTTTCAAGCCACCATGTAGGTATAACTTGTTAGAGCAGCCAGAGGAAAGGAATCCAGAGCCATATTAAGTATATTTATAATATGATTGCAGATGCAGATACATACAGTGAGTAAAAATAAAGCAGGGGTCAGAGGGTAACTGGAGAAGGGGAGCATTTGCAAATGTGTGGTACGAAGGGAGAGGTCTCTGGACGGGAATGAGCTTAGTGAGTGGGAGGACTAGCAAGAAGGCCAGTGAGAGAGGAGTCAAGGGTCAAGGGGAGAGAGATGGGAATGTGGACAGAGAGGAGGGAAGCAGCCAGGTCATGCAGGGCCTTCAAGGGCATGGGGAAGAATTTGATTTTATTCTAAATGCCGTGTGACATAATCTGATTTGTGACTTTAAAAGATTACTCTGGATGTTGCATGGGGACTATAGGGTGGCAAGAATGAATGCAGAGAAACCCATAGATCCATTTGGAAGCTACCGTAGAGGTCCACGGAAGAGGAGATGGAGGATTCGATGAGAGTGTTAGCAGAGGAGGTGGTGAGAAATGATCTGATTTGAGATATATTTTTAAGATAAATTGACAGCACTCTGTGGAGTTCGAGAGAAAGAAAGGAGTCTGGGATGGGTTCGAAGATTTCATCCTGAGCAACTGAGCAAACAGTGATACACTACTGAACACTTGAGATGAGGCTGTGCAAAGGAGAAACAAAAGTCTTTTCTTCATTTTTTTGTGGCTTGAAACAATAGAAATTGATTCTCTAAGTTCTGGAGGCTAGAAATCCAAAATCAAGGTGTTGGCAAGGTCCTTCTGGAAGCTCTGAGAGGGAATCTGTTCCATCCTCTCTCCTAGCTCCTGGTGGCTGTCGGAAGCCTTGGTGCTCCTTGGCTCGTAGGTGCATCACTCCAGTCTCTGCCTCCATCTCTACACGGCCCTTTCCCTTGTGTCTCTCCTTGTGTTTGTGTCTCCTTTTCTGTCTCTTATAAGGACACTTGTCTTTGGATTTAGGGCCTCCCCTAATCCAGGATGACCTCATCTCGAGTTCTTTTCCTTAATTACATCTGCAAAGACCCTTATTCCAAATAATTATTCCACATTCTGAGGTTCCAGGGGGCCATACCTTTTGGGAGACCATCATTCAACCCACTACACATAGCAATAAGTCCTATTCAGAGAGGGATTTCTCACTGTATTTAATTTTAATTAATTAAGTAAACAGCCACAGTGGCTAGCGGCTATCCCATGGGAGAGTACAGTTCTAGAAGATACACCACGTTACAGAATATTTGTCCTGAAAGGGACCTAGAAGTTAATCAAATGTAAGGCCCTCAATACCAGATGGAGAGTCTGAGGCCCGCGATGTGAACCGCCTCATCTGTCCCAAGGCCCGGCAGCCCACGTGGCTGCATCTTGAACCAGATCCCAGGTTAGTGAAACGACTTCGCACCTTGTTTTATTTGTGGAATGTTTTGTGCTCTGGAGTTGAAACCACACTAAGGAAGTAAACTGACTGTAAACTCAACATTAGCATCTCTCCTTTTTTCATCTGCAATGGGAAGGTTTCTTTTTTTTTTTTTTTTTGACGCATTCTCTTAAAAATTATAATGAATAAAGACCTTCTTAAAAGAAGTTCACAGACTTAGGTGCAGAATGCAGAGGAATTGGTGATGACACGGTGTCTTCACAGGCCCAGAGAGGGGCTTGCGGCTCCATGAGTTGGTGCCCGTTCCCTCCAGCTCTGGTAAACCGGCTGCTTTCTTGCACCATCTGGAGTTTCCTGGGCAGCATCAGTTACGCTTGCTGTTTGGGGCAGCCCTTCCTCATGGTCCTCTACAACGGCCCTCAGGAAACGCTGCTTCACTACACAGACACCAACACGGCGAGGCAGCCCGCTCTCAGCTCTGTGGCCGCACCACGTTTTGTTCTCCTCTGGAGCAACAAAGCAACCTACTGTTTTTGTTAGAAGCCGGTTTTGTTTCTTTTTTTAATTAAGAACCTATTGTTCTTTGTTTTATTTGAGGGAGGGCTTCAGCACAGGATAATATCTTTATTTATTTTGTTTTTAATGTTTAGAGCTGTTTGTCTTACAGATCCTTTTCACACAGCCAGGATGGTACATTTTTTTTTTTTTTTGGTGAGGAAGATCAGCCCTGAGCTAACATCCGTGCTAATCCTCCTCTTTTTGCTGAGGAAGACCGGGCTCTGAGCTAACGTCTATTGCCAGTCCTCCTCCTTTTTCTCCCCAAAGCCCCAGGAGATAGTTGTATGTCATAGCTGCACATCCTTCTAGTTGCTGTATGTGGGATGCGGCCTCAACATGGCCGGACAAGCCGTGCGTCGGTGCGCGCCCGGGATCCGAACCCGGGCCGCCAGTAGCGGAGCGCACGCACTTAGTTGCTAAGCCACGGGGACGGCCCAGGATGGTACATTTTAAGATCTAAACACAATAGGAAGCTTGTAGTAAGATTGTGGCCACTATGCCCCTCTTTCTCTCCAGTTCTATCTTTTCTCTGGACACTGCTTGCTGACCGTCATCACTGGGCTGGCCCTGAGGCTGTTCATTGAGAAACCATGTCAGGACCTGAAGGCATGCCTTCTGGGATGATGCCTGCAGGGCCATGAACGGTCAGGTAAAGCCCCAAAGAGTGGATGGCCCTTCATTGGTGGTGATGAGACAAAGCAGGGGTGGCCTCATTTGTGTAACAAATGCCTGTGTTCCTGAAAAGGGGTGTGAATCTGATTTTATGAATGTTTAAGATAGACAAGTTCTCTGTGTTTACTATGTAAAAGAGTTCTTCGATAATCTTCTTAGTAGCATAATAATCACCCTCTGATATACCTTCTCAGGAAAAAAATAAGATATTTTTGGTCTCATCCTGTATTTATTTTCTATATCAATGATCATAGGAACACATCAAATGTAGTGAATTTAATGTAATTTGGGTGATAATGTTCACTTTTCTCATTAAAAATCACAGTATGTAGTTTTCCACATCGTAATTGTTTCTCTGTTATTATGATACCTTTGTAGATTTGTAACTTTATCTTGGACTCTCAGGATGGTATGACCCACTAGCGTGCACAATTCATGGGTTTGTCATTCCAAGCCTTCCAAACATTATCTTTTCTACAAAGTGGTCCCTCCTATGAGATGAATTGTATCCCCTGAAAAAGATATGAAGTCCTAATCCACTAGTATCCTAGGATGTGACCTTATTTGACCTTATTTGGGGATGGGTTCTTTACAGAGGTAATCAAGTTAAAATCATGTGGGTGTGGCCCTAATCCAATATGACTGTGTCCTTATACAAGGAAGAAATCTGGACACGGAGACAGATATACACAGAGAGAAGGTGATGTGAAGACACACAGGGAGAAGATGGCCATCTACAAGCCAAGGAACACCAAGGATTGCTGGCAAACACCAGGAGCTAGAAGAATCAAGGAAGGATTCTCCCTAGAGCCCTCCGACATCTTTTTTTTTTTTTTTTTTGGTGAGGAAGATCAGGCCTGTGCTAACATCTGCCAATCCTCCTCTTTTTTTGCTGAGGAAGACTGGCCCTGGCTAACATCCATGCCCATCTTCCTCCACTTTATATGTGTCGCTGCCACAGCATGGCTTGCCAAGCAGTGCGTCGGTGCGCGCCTGGGATCCGAACCGGTGAACCCCGGGCCACCGCAGCAGAGCGCGCCACCTTAACCGCTTGCGCCACTGGGCCGGCTCCATCAGACATCTTGATTTAAGACTTCTAGCCTTCCAGAATAGTGAGATGATACATTTCTGTTGTTTCAAGCCAGCCAGTTGTGGTTCTTTGTAATCGCAGTCTTAGCAAACTAATATAGTTCCTCAACAAAAACTCCCAACAGAAGAAAGAGACCCTAGCAAGTGGCTTCTCTCCTGACTCCGTCAGTTTCCAGCAGTGAGGCCTGGAGATGGGGAGAGATCTGTAAGGCCAAATGGAGAATCTGGATGTCCAGGTTCTCAGGCTTGTATTCCTTCCTGGGAGTATAATTTCATGTTAACCATCACTACATACACGTAAACATATGTCTAACGTGCTTATAATAACACTCTGTGTACTTAACAATTGAAGGGTTTGTTAACAGTCGTGAGGCATGGAATGGCCATCTGTGTATGCTCCCTTTGCCTCAAGTGGATCTGCAAGGAAGACCACTGAGAGGTGGCGAGGGCTGCAAATCTCAGGTCCTTGGACAAGGCAAGTGACAGCTCACTTTGTCCTTTTCCAGCCAGCCCTGGGCAACAAGCCACACCTCCCTGAGGTCTGTTCTCTTCTGTGGCAGAATCTGACCTGAGTGAGGAGACAAGTCCCACCGTAGCATGTTTAGTCTGTAATAAAACGCACCAAGTCGGCTTTTTGAATAACTCCGAAGTTCATCGAGTTCCTCGGGAGCCCCCTGGTGGCTGATTCAGCACCTGAACTCTCAGCCTTAATTAGGCCTCAGAGGAGATCTTGAGGGCGAGTGGCTCTTACAGGAGGAACACTACAATCCAGACAGACCCCACTGGGAAATGACTCGCCTGCCAACACTGTGGGGCAGTGAAATTGCCTAGTGCTTTATGAGGCTAGAAGCCTGGGGGCCTTGGAAATAGCTTTCCAGTAACTAACATAACCTTTGAAAGTTTTTTTTTTAATAAGGAAAAAAATACCCTCCCCACTATTGCAATTTCATAAAACATAAAGTAGGGATACAAAAGTCCAATTTTGTTCTGGCTTTTGTTTCAACCATAATTCCCTAGAAGGTCACGATTTATAGAATGTGTGGACATTATTTGGATCCTGAAACAAACTGTAAAAAAGTATATGACATTTATGAGACAATTGAAATTTGAACACTGCCTGGGTATTTGATGATATTAAGGACTTATTAATTTTTAAAAGTGATAATGGTATTGCGGTTATGTTCTTTTAAAAAGAGTCCTTATCTGTTAGATGCATACTGAAATATTTACGGACAAAATGATATAAAATCTGGTATTTACCTCAAAATAATATCAGGAGGAAGTGGGATAGATGAAACAAGATTGGCCATATAGTGATAATTTTGGAAGCTTGGGCGATAGGTACATGGGACCACATTGTACTATTTTCTCCATTTTTGTATATGCTTGAAGTTTGTATAATAATCAAGTCAAGCCAGTTTATAGAGGCAGCAGGATGAGAGAAGAGTAAGCGTCAATTGGTGGGTGCCTCCTCTGATTCTTCCTAAATTCTGAAGCCCATGTTTCATCCCCACATACCAGCCTCACATGCGACCTAAAAATAGGTCGCATCACAGTATAGAATCATCTCCAGCGGATCTAAAGGAACTTCAGCCCTCCTTAAATTCCTCCTGCCTGGTTTTGGGAGAGTCCAGGGCTGTCTCGCTTGTCTTGTGAACACCTGGACTCTGCTATTTCCTTTCTTCCTTTTTCTGGAGCTGGCTCTTCTCTGAGCTCTGCCTTGCCATCAGAGCTGCTCGGATCTGCCGGCGGGGGCCAGTGCCTCCTACACGCTCTGACATCCCCACTGCACTCTCCAGAGCATGCTGCCTCCTCCCGTTACTTCTCTGGGAGGATGTAGGCTGGGCTGGTTGGGTGCTCGGGCCACTGTGTCTATTCAGAGCGCAAACGGTGTCCACAAATGCCACAAGCAGATGAGTCCCCTCTGCGCCACTTGTGCCATCTGTGCCCTGTGCTCTGATGCAGTGCTCCTGCGTGCTCGTCGTGTTTTTATAGCAACTGCTCTTGCAGGTTTTCTTCACCCTAATAGAGCTCCATCTTCCTTAGATACACTATGAGTCTGTGGGCGCTGGGATGGAGAGTGACCTGAGGGACAATTGCTTCCTCTCTACATTTGTCCTGTTCTCCATGTCTTTAGCCCTGACCCCCATGACTGGCACACGTAGCTGTTAAGTAAAGTCAGTTGACACAGAGATGGAATCAACCCCTTCTTCCTTTAGACGAGTTCTTTTTCAGGAGGTTCCTCATACAGTTGGGCAGGCCTCTCTCAACCAGGTCTCAGATATGCTCAATTTTATAAGAATCTACTCCTCAAATGGCCCAACCAGACCCCTTTCCATGAAGCTCAAAGTTGCAAAGCCCCACGGCACTTGAAGGCGTGAGAAATCTTTAGAACTTTAGTCTCCAGACCCCAAGTGGGATTTAAATCAATGCTGTGCTAATATAGGCTGAGAGGCAGCCACTTTTGGTGGCCTATCCACATTCGAGTCCCCTTCTCTCTTGCTAAACAAACTCTGATGTTGTTCCAGTATCAACATCCCAGACGGAGGGAAAGACTCATATTTAGTATAAACCAATTTTGTCCTCCTCTGTGCCTTTGCTGATGATTGGTCCAAGTGTGGTCATGTGACCCAGCTCTGACCAATGAGACATAAGGAGAAGTGTGCTGGGGACTTCTGGGAAAGATTTTCTTTGCTGAAGGAGGGAGGGGTAGGCATCAAGGAGCAAGTCCTTCTTGTCCTGCCCTCCTTCAGTCTTGTGAGAGTACGATGTTATTTGGAGTTGTCCTACCATTATTAGATGATATTTATTTATTTTTTATTAAGGCATAATTTATATACAATAAAATTCACCATATTAAAAGTGTACACTTCTGTGAGTTTTGACAAATGCGTCCAGTTGTGTAACCACCACCATAAGCAAGATATAGAATTCCATCACCCCTCAGAATTTCTGGGGCTCCTTTATAGTCAACCTCTATTCCCACCCCCAGCCTTTAGCAACCATCTGTTTTCCATCCATGTAGTTTTGCCTTTTCCCGATGTATTTATTTTTAAATGTTTAATTTTAAAAAATATAAAATATTTCAAATATTCAAATAAGTCTAAAAAATGAAACAATTGGTACCCCACATATCCATAATCCGTGTTAAACACAGGTTAACATTTTGCCATTTTTCCTTTGGATGTATGTTTTTTGGTTTGTTTAAAAAAATAAAACATTGTAAGCACAATTGTAGACCTCCCTGCATCCCATTTGCTTCTTTCTTCTCATCCAAGTTTCATCATGTTTTTATATTTTTACTAATAACATGCATATGTATATAAATACTATGTAGTACTTTCTTTGTTTTTAAGCAATATATAATTGGATCCATACTGCAATATTCTTTCAAAATATGATTTTCCCCATTAAACGTAGTCCACCTAGTTAGCCCATTCATTTTCAGCGGTCATGGTGTTCTGCTGAGTGCACATGTGCCTTAAATGTTTATCCATTCACCAATTGGCAGGTAGACGTTTGGTTTGTTTCCAGTTTTTCATTATTGCAGACGTGGTTGTAACATACTCCCTGTATGTGTTTCCTCATGGAGATGTGTTAGTTTCCAGGGTATATGGTCAGGAGAGTAACTGCAAGGTTATAGGGTGTATGTATACTCATCCTTACCTGATTTCTAAAGTGATTTTCCAAATTTACACCTCCAGTAGAGGTGTATGGGAGTAGATGCTATTACTCAAGACCCTCCCCAACACTTGTTACTACCAACCTGTTAATTTACTGTTAAATGTCTGATGAGTATAAGTTAGTATCTGATCACTTCCATTTACATTTCCCTGTCTACCGATGGAGTTGAGCATTTTCCA